ACCCTGGTTCAGAGAAATACCTCGTGGATGTTGAAAGACTGTGATAAAGGTTGCAGGTGGGACGTACTTGTTGCCGACGGCACTCAGGACTGGCTTGAGAAAGAGATTGGCTGGCACGAGAAAGAGTTCGTGATCCTCCCTTCATCCTGAGAGCACACTGAGATACGCGAGCGAGTACGCAGCACTCGTCGAATCCGCTGGACAGGGGGAGTTTTCATTACCCCAGTTTTTAAGGAGTTTTCCAGGAATCCTGACAAGCATTTGCAGCATCAGCTGGCGATGCTTTCCTCATTCCGTCCTTTCTCCTGCTTTCTTCTATCCTCCGTAGTCATTTGCCTCAAGTGGCCCGTGCGGGCCGCAGGGGGAGTGCAGACTTGAACGGATACTTCACTTCACATCTTTTGGAGCCTTCCGTGCAGTGTTCAGGGGGCAAAGACCCCAATGCAGAGTCCAGGGGGCTTGATGTGGAATGGTAAAGATAAAACGTATCATCATTATTCTTGCCGTCAAACAGTGCCTCAACAGAGCGTTTGGTGGCAAAATGCTGAACCCGCGGCCCACCGCGGCGGGCCAGGCCGCGCCGCCGTTGCCCTCGGCGAGGAGGGCCCGAAAGTGGGCGCAGGCACTGCACGAGCGAGCACCAGCCACCCGATGACGACGGGCAGCCCGCAGCACCACGTAGAGACGGTTCGCGGGCACGTTGAGCGCGACCTCGGCGAAGGGAGACTCGTCGTCGACCTCGCGGCGACGGCCCAAGCGGAGGGCCTGCCGCTGGATGCGCTCGGAGAACTCCTCGAAAGCGACGGGCACGTCCACGTCGTCCGACTCGGGCTCTTCGACCAGCTCCCACTCCTGCCCGCGCTCTGGGCCCCGTAAGGGCAGCCGTATGAGGACAGGGTGCCTGTGCTCGTCGCACTCGACTTCAGGTTCGAGCTCGAAAGGGACCAGCGCCTCAAGGATGGCCTCGAGCGTGGCCCTGAGCATTCACAGCCCGATTCCGTTGGCGTAGCCCTGGAGGCGACGCCGCGCGGCCGCGGTCGAGACGCGCGCCAGCACGGCGGCTGCGTCTGCCGCGGCGGCCGCCGCTTCGGCGGCGGGGAGCAGGGCTCGGGGCCCCGCGCGGGCGGCCGCGAAGCCCGCGGCGAACCCACAGAGGCCGCAGCAGCCCGCGAGGCACACCAGGACCAGGAGTTTGAGCAGGATGGCGAGGCCGCCGACCAGCAGCCACGCGTGTGGCTGGCTCGACCCCCAGCAGTATGAGCTGGAGTCGGCCGGGACAGCGGAGCCGAGCGGGGCGGCGATCGACCCCCAGAACGCCCACCCCAGCATGAACAGGCGCGGGCCTGGGGGGCGGCAAGCAGGCTTGAGCCAAGACCCGACGCGAGAGGTGGCAGTCGACCCTAGTCTCAACGACGCGAGGCAGCTGGCAGCCCCCCATATGCGTATGTGTATACAAATATGTGTATGCATGCATGCATGTATGTATGCATGTATACATGTATGCATGCATGTATGCATGTATGTATGCATGCACATACATATATGTATACACGAAGGTATGCGTGTATGTATGTATGTATGCACATATGCGTGTATGTATGTATGTATGCATGCATGTATGTATGTATGTATGCATGCATGTATGTATGTGTGTATGCCTGTATGTGTGTATGTGTGTAGGTGTGTGCTTGTATGTATGTATGTATGCATGTATGCATGTATGCATGCATGTATGTATGTATGTATGTATGTATGTATGTATGTATGTATGTATGTACGTGTTTGTGTATGAATGCAAGTAAATATGCATGCATGTATGCATGCACGCATGCATGCATGTATGTACGTGTGTATAATTCTGCATATATCTATATATGTATGCATGTATGTATGTGTGTAGAAATGTATGTATGTATGAATGCATGTATATACGTATGCGTGTACGTATGTGTGTATGTGTGTTTGTTTGTCTGCATGTCTGTACGTATGTGTGTACGCATGTATGTATGTATGCATGTACGTATGTATGTATGTCTGTATGTATGTATGTGTGTTGTGCGATCTGTGTGGAGCAATCGATGTGAACATATGTGCTTCAAGTGCAAGCGCTGTTTGGGGAATGTGGCTCTTGCATTGACGCCACGCGCGCTCGTCTTTAAGACTTCTACCATTCAGCTGCATGCAGGGCAGGCGATCCTCCTTCCTCCTCCTGACCCCACCGTCCTGTCCTCCTCCTCCTGCTCCTCCTCCGACATCCCTCTTCCATGTAAGCAAGTCTCCCCTCGTTGAACCGGCGTGTCCGCATGCCTTGCCAGGCGCTTCGCTTGATACTCGCTTCCTCTTCATTAGCGTGAAAAGAAACAACCCAAGCATTACAAGAACGGACGGCTGGTGATTTCCAGAATGCGGTTCTCGCCTTCTGCGCCGCGCAAACTCGTTTGACACGCTTCGAGCAAGTGCTGGGATGGATGGCGGGCAAATTCCAAAATGTCCTTCTCGCCGTAGCGCTGCGAACATTCGTCCGACCGATGGTCAACAATCACGAGAAGGGCAGCCGGCTCATTCTCAGAGTGGGGCTCTCGCCTGCGACCTCCGCAGATTTTGTGATCTGACCTGCAAAGTTAACCAACAGGTGCAGCGGTGAAGGGCGGCCCCTTTTCGAAATGGGGCTCTCGCTCGACACGTCCTCGAGAGCTACGCCTCGAAATAGAAGACTGTGCAACATTTCACGAGTGGAGGGCGGACCCCTGCTCAAAACGGTGCTCTTCGATGGGCACCGCCTTCAGCTTGCTAGTCCAATCGCGCTGCTCAAGGCAATTCCTTTTCAGAACGGGTCATCGCTTGAATGGCAGACCCATGAAACGTTCGTCTGTTGATCGGGCGGTTCCCGTGGTGAGAAGGAATCACTGTAGGGACTCACAAAGAAGGGGACTCGAGACGGGAGGGTGTAGTGCAACATCCCTGGTGCATCATCGTCCCCATTATTTTCATCCCCCTCCTCCTCCTCCTCCACCTCCTCCTCCTGATCCTCTCTCCTCATTGTCCTCCTCCTCCTCCTTTCTCCCCACCTCCTGTGCCCCCTCCTCCCTCCTCTTTTTCCCTACTCCGACCTCCATCACGCTGGCATCGCGCCCGTGCGCACGAGGCCGCACCCTGCTCCTGCGCCGGTGGCCGTGCAGGCGGGCCAATGAGCAGAGGAGCAGGGACACGACGAGGAGGAGTAGACCTTGACCGAGGATGAGGAGGAGGAGGAGGAGGATAACAAAACACGGAGGAGGAGGAGGAGGAGGAGGAGTAGACCTTGACCGAGGAGGAGGAGGAGGAGGAGGAGGAGGAGGAGGAGGAGGAGGAACAGGAAGAGGATCACAGAACACGGAGTCTACCCGAAAACGCGATGCCTCGCTGCAGGACAGGGCCAGCAGGGGGCCCCTCGAAGCTGGGACTCGAACGCCTCCGAGCCTCGAGGAGGAGGAGGAGCACAACAAGGAGGAGGAGGAGGAGGAGGAGGAGGAGGAGGAGGAGGAGGAGGGGGAGGTGGAGGTGGAGGAGGAGGAGGAGCACAACAAGGAGGAGCACAAGGAGGAGGAGGAGGAGCACATCAAGGATGAGAAGGAGGAGGAAATTGAGGACTGGAGGGATGGATTGCAAGGATGAGGACTGGAATATGAAGGGGCTCAGGTAGAGAATTGCATCATGTATATGTACCTGCCGGCTGGAGTAGAAGTGAAAGGAAGACGAGGAGAGGGCTCGGTGGATGATACAAGAGGATGGTAGGTGGAGGGAAAAAGGCGAATCTGGAGAAGGCGGATCGGTTGATGCGGATGAAGGATACGCAGGAACATGGAAAGAGATCCCGACTGGATCTGTGTTCGGGCCAATAGCTGCAGAGACCAGGCGGGCCCTTGTCAATGCTGATATCGGAGAGTCTACATCTCCCTACTCCTCGTTTTTCCTCTTCTCCTCTTCCGCCCCCTCCTCCTCCTTCTCCTCCTCCTCTCCTTCTACCCCCCCGCTGCACCACCTGACGTGTCCGTAGGGTGGGCCAGGCGTTTCGCTTGACCTCCGTAAAACATGCTATCCGAAAGCTGACACAATTCCAGCGTATACAGATATCCAGGGCCGGCGATTTGCAAGCATTGGGCTCTCGTCTCGGCGCCGTGCACATCTTTTATAATGCGTCCAACACTTACACGAATGGAGGGCCAGTCACTCTCGAACATGCGGCTCTCGCCTTAGCACCGCGCAATGTAATCGCTGAAATTGACAGCATGTACAAGGATCGAGACCCCTTCGTTTCCAAACTGTGACTCTCGCCTAAGGCTTCCTGAAACTCGATGACCTGAAGCAGCAACATGTGCAACAATTACACGCGTGGAATGCGGCTCATTTTCAAGTGGGGCTCTCGCTCGAGACTTCGGCGCGTTACGTGACAGGGACTTCTTGAAACTGTGCAACACTTTCACGGGTGTAGGTCCGATCCTCTTCAAAACGGGGCTACCGCTGGACATCTCGTTAATCTTTACCATCATCAATGTTTGTCCCTCCCTCCTCCTCCTCCTCCTCCTCCTCCTCCTCCTCCTCCTCATCATCATCATCATCATCATCATCATCATCCTCACAGTCCCCCCCCACCCCGCCCTCTTGTTCCCCTACCTCTACCTCGTCCCCTTTCCACTCCTTCTCCCCTCCCCCCCTCCTGCCACTCCTCGTCCCACCCCCTTCTCCCCGTCGTCTCATCCCCCCCGCCCTCCTACCGCTCTCTTCATCCTCCACCACTGTCCGCCACGAGAGAGACGCGTCCTGACGGAAACGGGGCGTGGACCCTGGGGCACCCCCCCAGCAGCGGCTCTTCGTCTGGAGCACCTGCCTGCCGGTTCTGGGGGCCCAGGAGGTCCCGAGAGGCCCAAGTCAGCGAACAGCCTCGGGAGCCCCTTTCCCTCAGGGCCCCTCTCCTCCATGCTGACTCCTGCTGCTCCAATCCCTCGCGCGGGGCGGATCGCCTGAGGCCCCAACGGCATCGCCATCGCCCCCATCATCATAACCTGCGATGGGCACCGCTGCCCCACCAGATGGGTGCACGTCGGTCGGAAGAAGTAGGTGACAACATCAAGAATGAGCGCGGAGAGAGCAGGTTGGGCTCAGGCCCGCCCAGAGAATGACAAAAGACAGCAAAAGCACATCGATTCCTGAAGTAGGAAGGCGCTCGAAGTATGTTGGGATCAAGAATGCACGCTCTCCGCGGCCAGCCTGTACAAAACCCCTCGGAGCACGGCGCGCCTCCACCCAGGAGATCCCAGAATCGAATCGACAAGTCGGATCGGCAATCGACACGAATCGTATCGGCGGAAATCGGCAGCCGAGTCGGGAAAAGTCGAATCGGCGGAAATCGGCAGGCTATGATGCGTCCATTGAAAAATCGGAACCCAAATCGGAATCCCAAGTCGAATCGAATCGGAATCGGAATCCATCGAAATCGGATCGAATCGAATCGGGGGAATCGAAACGAGCCCTGCCTCCACCTCCCTGCCTCCTGCTGTTGGAGGCTTGGACATTGGCACCAGCACCAGCACGGGGGTTTGCCTCCACAGGGAGTTCATGATCTTAGATTTCGGTGTTGGTGGTAATATTTCGGTCACCTTGGAGGCCAGAATATTACCACCATCACCGAGATCGGGATCGTCTTCCCTCGGTGGAGGCGCACCGCCGATCTTGGTGTTGGTGTCAATCTCAAGGACTGCGATGCTGGTTCTGTTCCTGTCTCCTGCTGATGCTGCGACTCACCCCCTCCATTCTCGGGCACAGCTGGCAGAGATCGGCCCCCTCCTTCTCCGCAACCTTGCATCCTCTTCCTTCTCGTACCTCCATGTGTCCAACAGTATTGTTCCCGTTTCCCTCCCTTCCCCCTCCTCCATCTATATCCGCCACCGTGCCGCGAAGCACTGAAAGAGTGTCATCAAGTTCCTTCGAGTTCTCCGCTTTCAATAGTGCAAATGCTCTACCAGGGGCCTGGGGCTCATATTTCCAGACGCCCTTGGGTGCTTCAGGGGCTTGTCGCGTAACTTTTCTGGAGGCCTCGGAGGCGTGGTCGGGATTCAACACGTCCAGCATGGCCTCAATCGGTTCCAGGACGCGCTGGAGCCCTCTTTGGCGCCTCTTGGGTCGTCTTGCAGGCTGTGGAAGCCAGCCGAAGAGGCCCAAACCATGGAAACACTGTGAGTTGTTCAATGATTTTAGCCTTCTCGCCTGCTTGGTCCTAAGAGCGCCCGAGATGGCCCAAGAGGCTGCGAATCTCGCCCCAATGTGGCGTCTCAGCCTGCAAGAACGGCCACAAAAGTCCACAAGACGGCCCCAAGAGGGAGGACACGGAATTTCGGATGTTTCCCCAACGATGGCGTCCGAGACTGTCAGGCCCCCAAGAGGCTCGCAAAATGATCCAAGAGGCCTCCAAGAGGCCCTCGAAAAGCCGCCCAGGAGGCCCGGAAGAGGCCACAAACAGGCCAAAAGAAAGCCCCCAAAGGGACCCCAAGAGACACCTCGGGCTCCCGACAGCGGCCCCCCGAGATCGGGGAAGGACTGCGGCGGGACTGAACAGATCATGTCGCCCGAGATCTGGGTCTTCCGGCCATAGCTCGGGCCTCCGGCGGCCGTTCGGGACCACTGGCACCCCTGGAACGCTCTCGACGAGGCGCAGCAGCTGAAAAGCATCCCAAAACGAGGACACATTCTCCAGATATGTGAAGGGGCCCCAGGACACACAAATAAGTACACACAAATCAAACTATTCCCCATATTTTCATTTATTTTCTGGGTTCTTGTCTTCCCCACCACTTCCCATATTTTCCCATATGTTCTAGGGGGTCGACGATTCATTCTGTCGGTGTGTTCTCCCTGAGAGGAGCAGGACGAGGGCGAGGCAGACGCCGAGATCGAACCACCACGCCGTCGGAGACCTGAGCGGCCTCCTCGCGAGACCCCTCCCGGGGTCCTTCCTGACCCATTCGCGAGGAGGATCCAGCCAGGGCGACGAGAATGAAGGGGCCCTGGGACACACACATAAAAACACACAAATCGAAATATTCCTAATATTTCCAAATATTTTCTGGGTTCTTGTCTTCCCCCCCACTTCCCATATTTTCCCGGATGTTCAGGGGAATCGATGATTCACGGTGTCTGTGTTTTTTTCCCTCCTGAGAGAAGCCTCTACTTGGAAGCATCTTGGTTTACGTTAAGTCAGCTACTTACTAGGTTGTTACAAGCATACGTTAAATATGTATAAGCACAACATAAACCACTATACGTTTTCATAACTTGTTATAACGCACGCATAAATACTTAGCAAAGCCAGCTAACGTTTAGGGTGATTTACGGCTCGTTAAGATACTTTAGGTTTTCTTAACACCGCTACTCATAGTTACGGTTGGTTTAGTAAGTATGCGCCAAACGCGCGTTAACCAAACTAAGTCATGTTAAATCATGTTAAACCGTTGAGCTAACCCAAGTTAAAGTTTAAGACAACTTAGCCAACGTTAGCTAACGCGTTATAAGGACGATCTAAACTTTAACATGAACCAGCATGTTTTAACACAATTTAGCATAATTTAACATGCTTTAACATACTTTAACATGATTTAGCTCCCACTTAACATGCGTTAGTATGAGTTAGCTAACCCTTTAACATACTTTAAAATAGTCTAGCTCAGCCTTTACAAGATCAGCTGTCATAGTTTTACGCATTGTTTTTGTGTATGATTGTCAGGTCATGGTATGCTACAGAAGCGGTTTTCTCATGTGTGTTTCCTGTTGGTTGTCTAATCGTGTTGTTCCGCATGTCTTGTGTGTTGCTGTTGCGTGTGATTGGTTCGATGCATGTTGTTGTTTTTCCTGTGTGTTGACATGTGTTGGTTAGATCACGACGTGGATCCGCAATGTTTTTTCGTGAATTCGGAGTGGTATCTAAGTTGAGCCCGTTGATTTTTCCATGTAGGTTTGCATGTTGTGTTTCGACCATGATGTCTTACATATGTTGTTCCCCATTTGCTTTGCATGCGATAGTAGGGAGATCGTGCGCTACATGCATTGTTTTCTCTCTTTTTTTGCACGTGGTATTGCGACGCTCATTTGCTGCAAAATGGTATTCCGATTCTGGCATGTTAACAATCTAAAGCGGTTTATCTATGTGTGTTGTTTCGTGCGTTCTTGAGGCCGTGGTGAGTTGCAGTTATGGCTTTCTCGCGTGTGTTCTTCAGTGTGTTCCAAGCGCGTTGCAGGTGGGCTTGTGACTTGTTGCTTTGCACGCGGCATCCCGACCATGATGTGTTACATAATGTTAACGTATTTCGGGTGGGGAGCTGGATCGGCGTATGTGCTTTCATTAGTTGTGCGCGTGGTGCTGCGATCATACTGTCATGCGCGGTTCGTTGTGTTCGTTTTGGGTTGCCTCCCCCGATCAAGATGTTATCGGGTTCGCGGGCGGCGCTTCAATCGCGGGTTAGCGGGCGGCGCGGTTTGAGATGCACATGCGTTTATTTTTCATGGTTTCGTCGCTGTTGTGTTGTGGTCATGCGCGTCGTGATGCACCATTGAATTGGGCGTCCTGCGAGCTGCAACCTCGTCAGTGCACGCCCGCCCCCCGAGCTGCAGCCTCGGGCCCCCATCGGCTGGGGGCGATGTCCGTTCCGCCGATTGCACCTCCAGGCGCCGCCGCGCGGGCGCCGCCACCCATCCCCAAGTCGGCGTTCGTCGCCGCGCATGGCGGCTCGGAGGTCGTCGCCAAGGCGAATGGTTTCCACGGCCCCCCTCCGCGTGGCGCGCGGGGGCGCATCCCATTGAGGTCGCGGAGCTGCCGCCGACCACGCCCGCCGCGAAGCGGATGCGCCGCGACGCCGACTACGCGGCGGAGAGGGCGGCGGCGACGCGCCCACAGACGCGGTGCGCGACGAGCGACCACGAGAAGGAGGCTGGTCAACCGACGCCGCGCAGGTCGCGGTGGGCGGACGGGCTGTGGTTCCCACTCGTAATCCCAGTGCACTGGGATTACGGGTGCCCCCTCGCGCACGCGTGGCAGGCGTCGTCGTCGTCGTCGCTGTCGTCGCCGTAGTCGAGGCGCGGGTGTTCTCGAAGCTCGCGTTCGAGCGGTTCGCGCATGTGTGCGCGAGGTGGGCCATGGCGAGGCCGTCGAGCGGGTCGTGGCGGCCAACGATGAGAAGCGGCAAGAAAGGGTCGGCAAGGCCAGCCGTCGCCGCCGTCGTCGTCGTCACCGTCGTCGTCGTCGTCGCCGTAAGTACAAGTGCACCACTTGCCCGATTGGTCGGTCGGGTTTCGCTGGCGCGAGGACCGCATGTAGACGCGGCGTCGTGAAGAGGCGACCGCGGCGATCGGCTCGGTCATAAAAAAGAGGGGCGATGAGGATGGGCAGCCGAGAGGGCCATGAGGAGGAGGAAGGGGGCGGCGATGATGATGATGAGGAGGAGGGGGAGGGGGAGGAGGGGATGGGGGAGGGGGCTGATGATGAGGGGGGGGGAGGGGGGCGAGGAGGAGGAGGCTGATGACGACGGGGAGGATGATGAAGATGAGGATGGTGATGATGATGATGCAGCTCGAGCCGCCCCCCCCCCGCCCGCGTCGACGTTCAGAGCTGCAGCTCTCGCCCCCGTGCGCCCCCCACCCCCGCCCCATCCTTCTGCCGAGCTGCAGCTCGAGCCCGCGCTCCTCATCCCCGCCCCCTTCATCCGAGCTGCAACTCGAGACCTTCTGCCGCCCGCGCCACTGATTAGGTTCGCCAGACGGGTCGCAGTCGCGCGCGGGCGGGCGCCGAGGGCGGGCATCGGTGTCACGATGTGCGCGGAATTCTTGAGGACTGGCGAGATCTCCCGTCTGATGGCCACTCATTTGGGCAAGGGTACCCTCGTGGCTGGCCGGGGCGAGGTGATGTCCCGTCTCGTCGAGCACGGCCTCGCGTGGAGGCTGCAGAAGCCGCCTGGACTACCATGCTGACGCATGCCCGCGTCACCCATGGTATGTTGCACGTGCGCGCGCTTGCGCG